AAAATCATACATAAAACCACTCAAAATACATGCCAAAATCCCTGATCATTAGCCAAGAATTCAACTCATTTGGGATATTAACACATGCACAGCATTTGTTTTATTTTGTAGGAAAGAAGTGGGAAGTTTCCTTTGTTGTATTTTATTTATCATTGTTGTATTGTTTTCTCCATCCCATGGCCTATATATTTCAGCCCTGGATCAATGTATAATCAGCTTGTAAAATATATTGTGATAATATAAGTTTCTTGCTCAGTTCTCTCTTTCTAATTTCTATATATTAAATCCTAATTCTATATCTTAAGAGTGGTTCTCTTAAGTGGGAGTTTTAGATTCTAAATATATTAAATAAGTTGAGTGATTCCTTATTTAAATAACTAGAGTTAACCCGAGTGAAGATAAGTGTGTGTGATTCCTCTTATTATTCACTTGATAAATGCTTCTTTCCCTCTCCCTTTTGTTTTCTCCTGAATTCAACCTCCTCTATATTTCTACACCTTCTCTTCTTCTTTCTCTTCTTAAATTGATATCCTAGACCACCCCGGGTCTCGGGTACAACATTTTCTCATTCTCATTCTTCCTCTTTCTCCAATTTATTAGATCTTAAACCTCAGTTTCCTTTTTAATTTCTTCATTTTCTTAGATTTCAAACCTAGATCTCATTTTTCATGTCTTCAATTTTCTAGATTTGAAAATTAGATTTGATTTTAAATTTCTTCAATTTCTTAGATTTGAAACTTAAATTTTGTGGCTTAACCTTAAATTTCATGGGGTATTTCAGTTCTTCCCTCCCCAATTCACTCATGTGCTGAAGATGATAAGGTTTCTGCAAAATTGGCTCTTGATCATGAAGTTTACACAGAATCTAGGGATGAAAATGATGTCTCTGCAAAATTGCGTCATTAATACACTTCGAAAAAATCATATTGCTTCAAAGATGACTTTTGTTGTCACCAGGGATTAAAGTGACGTGGGGTGGAGACGAAGAAGAAGGAGCTAGAGAGAAGGATTAGGTGAAGGGAAAATTTGGAAAGTCAAACTTTTTTCATTTCACATTAAAAACCATGTCAAGCCAAAACAAGAAGTTTCAACTTTGACGGAGGGATAATCCACTACACATGACTAGAGGTCTATTTATACAAAGTGACTCTAACTTCCACTAGTTATAACTTACTCATAACCTCCCACTAACTAAGTGGGAATAACTTACTCTAAACCTCCCACTTACTAATTAGTTCTAACTGCCTCCAAACTTCTCACTAAGTGAGGATAATAAATTTTTAAACTATAAATAAATAGACTCAAGAATTAATTAAATGATGCAATTAATTAAATACTATAATATGACTTAATCAACCAGCTGGGAACCTATCATGGTGTTGAATAATTAGATAAAGCTTTAACTTCACAACTCATTCACACACACACCACCTTTCTTATACCTCCTCAGAACCTTCTTATGCTCATATTTACACCTGTGTAGTGTTGTGTTCTTCTCACTTGTAGTAATCCAGTAATATGTTATAAGTAATACAACCTTATTATTATTTCTTCAAGTAGTAGGTTGTCTTATATAGTTCATTCTACCTAGCGTGTAGCTGCCTACAAATCCAACCCACTAGCCTCCTAATATCACAATATTTCATCACCATCACCATCAGCACCTTCATCCCAATTGGTTGGGGTTGTATAAAATTACTTAACACAATATATTCATGGAATAGAAACATAGCTGAAATGTTTTACACTTTTACATCAGAGGTCCTTGTTGGATGTTGCAATCCTCTTTCGAAGAAATAACAACAACAACAACAACCCAGTTAAATCCCACAAGAGTAGGGTGTGTGTACGCAGACCTTACCCCTACTCGAAAGTAGAGAGGCTGTTTCCAAAGAGACCCCCGGCTCAACGTCGAAAGTTGCATTGCTTGACTAACTGCTACTTCATCAATTAAAGAAGCGCAGACAGCCTCTTTCGAAGAAATAATGAAATGAAAATCATAGAACTGCCATCATCATAGATTATTTCTATTTGCATGGAAAATATCATGAGAAATTTATGAATGAAGATATTTGTTATTAATTAACTTCACTACATGATTAATATTTCAAAATCTACATGCAAATCATGAAATATGCCATGAAAACATTACAATGTATATTTCAAATGATCACTATACATTTTTACTTATGAAATTAGTACTACTTTATGCCCATGTCCAACAATTAAGTTCCCATTTAGTTTCTGTGGTCAAAGTTTTTTAAAATTTGATAATGATTTGCATTAAACATACATTGAGTTATAATATTTAGATTCATTTTCAAATATGGCTCTACAATATCATACATGGATAATATTTATTTATGTATGACTAGAGTAAGAAAGGTGATTGCACATTTAACTTCTCTTGCTTCTTACTTTTTATGAAGTTTTGGGCGGTGAATGCGGCAATAATATAATGACAACTTCTCTACTGTTTACAAAGGTAAGGTTGAGTACACATTGACAACCAAACAACAGACTATATTGGGTTACTAGAGTAAAAAGATGGGAGCTGGTTGAGATGGGATTGCTTTAGGGGTCATTGTTCATCCAATTTTTGTCTTGGAGACGGATGAGATGATGAGACATTTCTAAGTGAAGTACCTTAGTGCATGTTATTTACAAACAAAATTGTCTTTGTCGACAAAATGCACGAAAGGGTTAATGAGAGACCAGAGATTTGGAAGCAAACTTTAGAGTCAAAAGATTTCAAACTGAACATGACGCACACTATGTATATGGAGTTAAATTCAGCATGAACCAAAAGAGGAGAAGAAGATCGAGTCTCAAACAATCCCCATAAGAGATTGTTGTAAGTACCTTGGATCATTTATTCAAGGAAATAACAAAATTAATGATGAAGTCGTTCATCGTATCAGAGCAAGCTGGATTAAAAGGAAGCTTGTGTTCTACAAGTACCACTGAAACGGAAAGGTAACTTCTGTAGAGTGGTAGCCACATGCAAAAGCTGAGAGAAATGGAGATGAGGATGCTTAAGTGAATGTGCCAACATACTTGAGTTATAAGAGGACGTTTAGAGTAGAGGCTTAGAGGGTGCCCTTGTGGTGGTTTGTATATATGAGGTGTTATCTACTCATCCTTTACATAGATGTTTTACACTTCATATACTAATTATTTATTGTTCTAAACTATTTTTGTGTTCTCTTGAGCCAAAAGAATTTCAGAAACATCTCTACATATATTGGTATGGGTGTACACTGACCCTCCCTAGACCCCCTATTTGTGGCAGCTACATTATTATTGGTGTTGTACAAATATCAATAGCTAAAATGTTTCATTAGAGGTCCTGCAAGTCAAAGTGAAATCTTAACTTTGTGAGGGAGTGAATACTAACATATCAATTTTTCACATTCTTTTTCTTTCAAATACTTTCATGATAAGTAAAATATAAAAAATTAAAAGTATAAGAAAAGATTGAAGGTACGCTTTTCTATCCAAGTATAATTCCATATTCAGCTCCATTAAAAAGCTTTCCCGAGTTTTCTTAAAACTAGCTTTCACTTTCTCTAGCTATATAAATAGCAAAAAATTACTCTGAGGTACCCTCAATTTTTTGTTAAAAACTCCAAGGTCCTACATTATTTGAAATATACTTTGAGGTACCCTCAATTTTCTGGTAAGATCTCTCAGGTCCCACATTATCTAAAATAAACTCCGGGGATCCTTAAAATTTGAGGTAATGTACTCCAAGGATACATTCTGTCTATTTAGCTCTTACGATTGGAAAGTCTGTTACTTTGACAAATACTAAATTTTACCTTGATAATCATTATCTTATTGAATTTTAATTAAATCCTTCAATATGTCAAAGTAACAGAATTTTCAATCCTAACGCCTAAATGGACATAATGTACCCTCAGAGTATAATATCACAAATTTTAAGGAACCTAGAGTATATTTCGGATAATTTGGGATCTAAGAGTTCTTACCAAAAAATTGAGGGTACCCCGGAGTATATTTCAGATAATGTGGGACCTAGGAGTTCTTACCAAAAAATTGAGGGTATCCCTGAGTCATTTTCTAATGTAAACAGGCTCTATAAAAACGCCAAGTAAAGTCGTTCGACATAGTCAAACTCTTAATTTGGGTTGAATAGGCTAAAAACTCTTCATTAAGTCATTCACCAAACAAACGATATTGTAAGTAATTATGGAGACAAGGAAATTTCAGTTGTTGCTTTTTGGTCTACGTGAAGAATAACTTAATAACAAGGACCTAATGAACCTTTTAGTCAATAGATTAGCAAGGAATGTCAACTAAAGAGGAAGCCTTTGATTCATTACACGCACAGCATAATCTCTTTTGTGTTTATGATTTATTATATAGGAAGATGTGTGTGTTATATATGAGAGAAATGTAACACAACTACTTAAAAAATATTTTAGTTCAAGTGAACATAAACATGTAATCATTACCTATCAATCGTGTTGGGCTGACCATCAAAAATTTCAAATGCATTTCCTGCAGAAAGTGATGCTCTTCGACGATTTGCTTCCCGCAACAATATGGATGGTTCAAGAGGAAGTGGTTTCTTCTGAATGCCAAAATGGTTAGGCCGTGAAGAATCTTGAAGAATTGCCTACAAGTGCAGTCATATGGATTGCAATTTATGCCATTAAGAGTATTTCAAACACAATGAAGTCATAATGAGGTAAATGTTGATACATTAAATAGCCCTAAACATGCAAAAGAAGAGATATATGATTTCGGGGCATATATATACAAGTACACATATGTGGAGGTGAGGGGACTATTTTTATATGCAAACCAGTGCATCGTATTGTGGGTAACTTTACACAAATGCATGTATATGCATATATGTATGTCTGTATGTCACACACACACGTGTCTGTATCTATAATTATATTAACAATACATAGGTACACATATTTATTAGCATTACACACACATACATGCATATGCATAAAGATACACATACCTAGGAAGCATAGACACGACTAAAGATGTGTCATAAGTGTCACACTGTCACACACTTTGACAAAACACGGGGACATGCATACATTGCGTTCTTTTTTCTCATTTAAATAGTGGTAAATGTGGGTGTGGGGACATAACAGTGACATGGTGGCAACAAGGCCGAGTTTTTTAAACAAACCCTAGATCTCTTTTAGTCCACTCCAATCCTCCATCTAGCTTTATTCTGAATCCTCACTCACTCTCATAAAGTTTCTTTCTCTCATCGAAGAGAAGGCCCTAGATATTACAACATATTTTTCTCTTCTTCCAAATTGCAACAACACATTCAATACTTACCCACTTTAGCCTCTTGAATTTTTCTTCTTTAAATGTTGTAAGTGGTGTGTAAACTATGAACAACTAAGCCTTATGTGTAAACTTACCCACTTTTGATATTATGCAAACTGTAGACATTATTGGCATTGTTTATTATATGTGAAATTTGTTGCAGACATTTTATTTGAGTGTGCATACATCGTGACCCTATCGTATCCATATCTCATATTTTTGAAAATGTTGTGTTGCATGTGTACCCTCACTCACACTCATGTTTGTGTCATACGTATACATTGATAATTTGATACACACATACACCCACACACACACATACTTGCGTTCTTTTTTTGTTGCAACATTCAAACTTGTGCACAATTTTCACAGCTTACTTCGACCATAATTTTTTACTAATGTATAGAAATAGAGGATATGGCCATAGATAGAAACATTTGGAGTTCTAGGATTAGGGTAGTTGGATAGACGCTTTGAGTAAGGTGGTAGTTTCTACACTTGTTGTGTGCTTGTTATGTTGGGATTTCTCTAGTTTCTGTGCTTTTCTTCTATTAACTTTAGTTTGTTCTTTGTCTTTCTGTGTTGTTGCTTTGTGCTTTTTATGCTCTATGTGTCCTTGTGATCTTATATTATCAATGATGCTTCAGTCGGTGGTCTCTTGGAAACAACCTCTCTCCTTTCGAGTAGGGGCAAGGTCTGCGTACACACCCTCCCGAGACCCTACTCTCGTGGGGTCCAACTAAGTTATTGTTGTTGTATAAAAACAGGTCCTATTTTTTTAAATGTTGTTAAATTTGTCTCTGAGTATGTTTTCAAAATACTCCATATCAATTTTTTATCATTTCTGGTCAAAGTAATGTGCTGGGGAACGCAAAAGGCATATTGTTGAAAATAAAAAAAAACTTGGGTTATCATAAATGTGTGTAGAGTGTACACCTTTATGATTGGTATAAATGCGTGCACATAGACACATACATACATGCTTGTATTTTGAGTAAAGAAAATTATAGCTTTATCTTGTTTTGAATTTCTTGGTATAACGTGGCATGCCTATTAGGGATACAAAATTGTGTGTTTGAGATGTTTCAAAAAAAGGAATGAAACAATATCAACCAAACAAGCTTTCCCCTTAAAAAGGAAAGAATGTGTGGCTGTTTCCACTTCACTTTATGATATTTTCACACCTTTTATTATTCTTAGGGGTGATCCCGCTCTATCACTCCATATCTCCCCCACATTGTTCATCGTGTTGATCATGTCATGACTCCTTCCTCACCCCTATGTTCTCAGGTCTGCGATGAGGGTGAGATCAAAGGTGGGAGCACCTCTATGAATAATAAGAGATGTGCTCATGTGCCAATAAAAAAGTGGAGTGGAAAATGACCCACCCAAAGGAAAGATGAATATCATTATTAGATGAACCAATAAACTAATAAAGAATGTAAGTTTAAAAGGTGATGGAGTAAGTAATACTCCGGTATGTCTTTAAGTTTAATTCTCCTAAGGAAACTCAAAAAAATTGCTCTTGTGATAACTAAATAAGAGTATCACCATGAAAGGTATCTTCCACTATCAAGTATAGATTTAGAGTTTACTACATAAACATACCTTTTCTTTCAAAAGAACCTGAGATGATGCATCAGGTGGCAAAGAAGGCCAAACAGCGGGTTTAGGCCAAGGGAGCATGCTAAGTGAAGCACTGTCAATACAAAAAGAAGTGGCATGAGCTTGGAAGATGTTAAAGAAGTCCAACAGAGTGTTTTAGGTGCAGGACTGTACTGTTCACCTGTTGACGGGACTCCTTTCAATATGGGAACCATAGCCAATTAAATAGGCAAGCCGCATGAACTGCCGCATTAGAAAAACATGTTGGTAGAGCAGTCAACAGAGTATAAATAAATTCTTTACAACGTTAAGCAGTTAAACAACTTAAACTGCATGCTCCTTCAATGAGAGAAAGGGGCTGTATAAGTTGCCTCTTTGCATATTTGGTGACCTATCATAACTAGATAGAACTAATTGACTGAAAGATTCAACCCATGGTAGACATAACTACAATGAGCTCCAGTAAGTATCGAATAATAAACTAGATGAAAAAACTACTCCGTATTTAACATAGATAATGTTACCTTAGTACGGCATAAGGAGTAGAGATCCCCTTTTAGACGATAAAACTCCTTTTCTGTATCAGGTGACACAAGTCCATCTTGATACCTTGAAGTGGTTGCATTAATTAAATCCCGGCATCCAGTTATTACCCATACTTCACGCATACAGAACGGCAGTCTATTCTGAGATCAGGAGGAAAAAATTGCAGACAAAAATATAAGATGATATATACTACCTACTACGTAGTCAAACCTTAAATCCTTAACCACCAACAAAAAAAACTACATGCTAGAAGATTAAACAGTGGAGGATCAGTTACCTCATGGAGGGCCAATCCCTTAGAAAAGCTAATTATAAATGAATAACCCCTTGATGCAACTTCAAATGGACGATTCAGCTTAAACAACAGCTACATGTTACAATGCAACAGGAATAGAATCAACAAAAGTTCTTTGTTTTGTATAAATAAAAGAAAAAAACAGTGTAGCAATCAGTTTATTGCCAGGGAAGCACAGAACAATAAACCATTATCAAACCCATCTCCTATTTAACCAAGAGAAACAGCAACAATGGACTGAAAGTATTAGGTGTAGTTCTCTTCACCAAATCTTCAACTTGTTTTTATTTGACAAGAAACATTTACCAGCTGAAAGATTTGGATCAAACCAGACCACAGACAAGATGTATATTTCTGAAAATAAAGATTAGACAAGACAGGCCAGAAAGATAAAGACCAGACCAGAGCTTATGTTCTAATCAGATTACTTCTTTTCATTTTTTTTCAGGCAAATAGAATAAGTCCTCAATCTCAACCTATTAGGGTCAGCTGTTATATATATTCACCAAGAGAATAGACCAAAGTCATCGTGTAAGTATCTTCAGCTTTCAATTTAAAAATGTGAAGAAATAGTGCTTTCCGTTTGCTTTTTCTGGTAACTAATCAAATGTTGAAGGACATGAGTATGTCAGTTTTTATGTTTTTACTTCCAACTTAATCAGTTCGGTGTGCTAGTTGAGTGCCTGCCCACTGAACGTCAGGTCTCAGGGACATGGCGTAGAATAATCAAGCATAGTATCTTAGGTATGTCCATATCTTCTTACCAAGACTAACATTCTACACGATAGTTGAGATAACCATGTATGTGACATATTTCACAATATTTGGAGATAGTAAACAGATACTATATATGATCAGCAAATTTGTTTATGTTTATAAACCAGCCTAAGCTAACTGCAGGTTCTCGCACTTTCACACCTTTGCTTGACAGGCAAATAGATACTGCCTGAATTCAAATTCCCTAAATGAGTCATCTTGCACAATGTGCATCAGTGCTTTTTTAGCCGGGTCAAGAAGGGCAGCCTGATCATCACCATGCTCCATTCCTCCAAAGTCCCTCTTTTTCCCATTCATATTAACTGGTTCAGAGACAGTTAAAAATATCAAATGATTGAAATGAATGATCGGCCAAAGCCTAAAGAATTCAACTAAATACCATGCTAAAAGGGCAACAATTAAAAAAAATGGTGTTGGTCCCATAAGTGCTCACATAAAGAACATAATATTAAAGTATAAGTTCCGCACTTCAACCTCAAATAGATCTCAAACTGTTAGAAAAACACATGTTGAGTACCTTGTAGCAATCCTAAACACATTTCATCACATGCAGGCCAAACAATTATAAATAGATCAAAGTATCAAAATGTAGTTACCAGAAACACTAGCAAAAAGAAAGGAAATTCATATTTAGAAGGTAGGTTTAGAAAAGTAACTAAAAAAAGGGAGTTGAGTTCTAATAAAAAATCCTACCAAAGCTCTACTTTATCTCTCTCTCTCTCTCCCTCCTCACTTTCGGATCTATTCTCTCTCCCTTTTGTACATTGTTTGATTCTCCTTCTTCTGTGCATAGGGTTTTTCCAAAGGAAATTTCTGGCAGAGCTTGCCTTCTGTTTGTCTCCTGATATCCCCATGTACGTAGATCAGCAAGTCAGCAACATGCAAAGCTCCTTGTTTGTCCCTTCTTTTTATTTGTTGTTGCAAATCATGAACACAATTGCGCCATAGAGAATCAAACCCTTCCGTCGAGCCACCGAATCAAAAGAATGCCCTATGATGTGTAGCTTTTTCCGGGAGCATAACAGTGTGTATGTCATATGAATTCTCAAAATATATTTTTTAAATTAATGGACATACTCTAAAATATTACCTTCGACCACACACATTAAAAAATAAAACACCACAATCTTTATCAAACATTGTAATCATTCATGTAATTTTACTAACCTTCTACTCCCATAAAAAGGTTCCACCTTTGACTTGGCACGGATACTAAGAGAAGTGAAATTGAGTGGTTGAAAGTGATGCAGAGGAGAGAAATTATAAGGACCGCAATGTTTTTCTAAAAGTGGCAAGTGGAACCTTTTTTTGGAACAAATAAAAAAGGAAATGAGGAACACTTTTGTGGAACGGAGTGAGTAAGAGATTGTTAAACTATAACCAAAAATTTATCTAAAATAATGATATACAGAATGCCCTGTAAATGTAAGATAAAAGAAATAAAACTGCTATTCAAATCTAATCTAATGACATTCTAGCTGCAAAAATGGAAAAAGGGGATCCAATGAAAATTCTATGTAGCTGTTGGCTGTGAACTTTCAGATAATGGATAAAAGAATATTATGGCCGAAGAGAGTGAATAACCTGAAATATATAAGGATTGAATGTATGTACCTGTTTCCAAGTAACAGAGCTCTAGTTCATCGTATTCACGTAGAGCATCTTCATGGAGATGAGCTATCTCAAACATAAAGGCTAAGCTTTCCTGTACGAAAAGATAAACATATTTTAATATCAATACAAGAGGAAATGACAGTCACTCGTGAGGTACGGCACACCGTGTGCTTAATCTCCTAACTGTGTTAGAATCAACCCCTGGCCATTTCCTTATAAATAAACAATAGCATGGATGCATCTCCCTCAAAATATATGTGGTTAAATTGAAGCTGTCAAAAAATTGACCAGAGCAATTACCATTTTGTAATGAGTAAGCATGTAATCAACAAATGCAATAGAACCATTGAGTCCCTTTTACTATTAGGTATTAAGGTTCAAGGTGCTTTTACAGAACTGATGAGCATCAGTGTGTCAGAATTTAGAGCCTCTAAAATGTAAAAACAAAAAACCATGACTCCAAAAAAACACATGATTCCCCATTTGAAACGACACATGATGACTCATCCGATAAAGAAGCATGATGCCTTATCCGAAATTGACAAATGGAACAACAAAAGACCATATTCACATTGAAACTTGAAATTCAAATAAGGCATGTGATGTCTAGACTTTAAATAAGTCTAATGGTCAGAAATAAGGTGACTTATTTGACTAGTTGCCTTATTTGACCATAATTTCAGGAATCCTTTTTATCTTGTTACGACATTTTACTCAACTTCAGGAACGTCTACCAAACACTTCTAATATAATCGGTCACCTTATCAACTTTCAACTTTTCAGTTTTTAGTTCACTTTTCAGTCACCTTTCAGTTTCGAGTTGCTTATTAAACTAGTGTTGCCAAACAGAGCCAAAATATGAGATAGAAACCAAACGAAAGACAAGGTTTATAAGGCAAACGTTACAAAAATCCCGAACGTCTTAAAATGTTTTCATGCATATGTGCTACAATATGAGAAATAAATCAGATTAAAGACGCTTTTATTATCTGTAATGCCTGCTTTTACCTTTAGAATGAAGAAGTTACAAAAATTCCAAACGGGCATGAAGCGTTGTTCGCTGAGCTTCCTAATTTCTTCCTCATAAAACTGAATGCGCTTATCAAGGGTATTTCTAATACATTCCACAATTTTATGTTCCAATTCTTCCCATAAATTTGGATCTCCATGCAGATCCACTTTGCAGCATCTAAAGAAAATATATTTTAAGGAAGTTAAAACTTAAGGCAAGCACATGTAAGTAAAGCAAATATGTGAAGTAAATGTTTTAGGCATAAGTTCCAGATATGGGTATACCAAAATTTCATCCTAAGGTATAATATCAGCTCAAACTGACAGTCTTGAACTTAACCTATGACTAGGATATAACTAATGATTGTCATGACTGGTCAAAGCCATAGAACACAAAACATGACCAATGCATGTGTGTGGGGAAGAAGAAACTTGAAAGCTAATTCAGTATACCAAGGGATCCTTTACCATTGTTACATACATAGGCAAAGCCTTTACAAGTGGTGATACTATGATAGTGAATTTGGTAGTGATGCACCTACTGAGCAAATACCGATATCACTGATTTCTCATTAAAGAGAGAGAGAGAATAAGAGGGGGAGAGAGAGAGATGTCAAAAAGTAGAAAGGAATAATTACTACTAAAGCATGCATTTGATGTCAATAAAAAAATAATTATTATTTGATACTTCTTCAACATGCATCACACAATTTGACAGGATTTATTTATTATTTTCATTTATTTTGAATGTCCTAACACAAGAAAAAAATTATGATTAGAAGCACACAAGTTACATTGGAAATTGACCACAGTTGTGTTTGTTTCCTTTAACATCCGTGCAGAAAACAATTGTAGCCTATAGAATCGGACAGAGGGAAGTACTAAACATGTACTCCCCGTATTATTTGAAGTCTTTCTACAAAAGTTGTGGTTTCTTTGTAAGGGAACGAAAAGGTGAATAACACCATTAAGGCTGGCAGGCTGTTTACCTTTCTCTTTTCTTCGAGCTAAAATCAACCTCAAGTTTGGCATAGACTTTTTTGGCCATCTTGGTGGCCTGGTCATTGTGAGCTGGTGCTTTAGACACAAACACAATAAACCATTCGCGTTCATCATTTTGAACAATTAACTTCAGCCTTGGTTTGAGAATTGTCTTAAATTCATCAAGATCCTAGAAATACAAAATAAAAATCAAAGTGTTCATGATACGTAGAGATGAAAAAAGATACACGCTGCAAAATGTATGGAAGACAAGAATATGAGATTAATAAGTGCTGCATGCCTCATTCTTACTGTGGCCTAGATTGAAATTATGTCCAGCAAAATCCAAACTGAAACCCCACTATCCATAGACATTGTGATGACCAACAACCATCATATAGCTACTTAAGAATGATAAGAGGGAAACCATTAGGGAAACAATTCCACCTCTTAATTAAAATGAAACCCCAAAGGGAGGGGAAACAAAAAATAAGAAAAAAATTAAAAGAGTGAACGTTGGAGCAGGAATCTGGCATAAACTGGAATAGCAAGTAATCTGGCATCAAAAAAGGTGTTGGAATAAACTAAAGGATAACTGAATTGGAAATCCACCAGCTCTCATAAGAAAAAACAATTTCACTCTTCTTATTTTATTCTACAATATTCAGAGCACAGGGATAGAATTTTAAATTGGAATGTGCATGGTCTAACAGAAACAGAGTGAAAAATTCCAAATATCAAGAGTACCTCACAAGTGACAAGGACAAGTGTAGCATATGGTTCTCGGAACCAAAACAACGATTGCTCTTGTGGGAACCTACTGCGTAGTCTTGCATCTGTTGTTAATACATACTCAGCATGGAATTCATCCACAATAACAGGATTGCGTGTCTTGTTGTTTAGCAAGGCTCTTTTGATGGGCAAATGTTCTTCAAACTCCTTTCTTACAAGGGGCCATAAATCACTAACATCTTCAACTGTGAAGCAAAAATAAGAACGAATGAACTTCCATTATAAGTGCAAATGATCTACTTTAATGTGCAAATGATGAGCCATTGAGCCCTCAATATGTTGCGCGGACTCTTCAAGTAATTGTTGCTTGTCATCCCTGAAACGTTCCCGTTTGGGTACATGGGACGTTCCCACACTCAAATCTTTGTAACATATTGAACAATTTGTGTTTCCCCATCCCCATCTTTGTGCAACTTAGAGCCTCATCGTGATGTAGGCACTAAATTTGCTTGAGATGCTTGCAAGAACATGTGCCGGATCTACTTCTTTTCTGTCCGGAATTGGTAGGCATTTCATTTGTTCTTGTGAATTGGAGTCTTTGGAAACAACCACTCTACCCTTTGTGGGTAGGGGTAGGGTCTCCGTACACACCTACCTGCCCAGACCACACTAGATTTGTTGTAATAGTTGTTGGAAGAAGAAAGGGTGCACACAGAGCCTAGTACTCATTACTCATAAACTCGCCAAAATATGGTGCTCATATTCTTATTACATTTTACAAATTCATGAAGGAGGTAGAGCATGATGGCATTCAAGGCCAACTGTACTAACAAAAATGTTTGCCATAAGCTCCATTGCAATATCACATATGAAAACCAGATCACTACAAACCGAAATTCAACAACCATCATCTTTCCTCTACTGCCTTTTTATATACTAAAACACTAGTTTTGAGCTTTGGATAAGTAAATGGAGTCATCCATAGCAACGGAATTGAGATCAGGATGCTTAGCATTGCATTTAATTCTATAGCAGAACAGATTGCAGTACTAGCATTCAAAATCGAAAACATGGAGAGAATAAAAACGAATTGTAAAACAAACAACAACGGGTGCCCAAGAATGGATGGCTTAGGGAAACGGGTGAGGAAAAGTCGAAGTCTGAGCAGATAAATATGTGCATTACCGGCAACGACGATATGATCGAATGTATTTTTTATGCTCTGGAACTGAGGCAAGAAACTCGCCATTTACCGATCGGTGTAGAACATAAGTTGATAAATTTGAGACTGGGATCGGATCCTTCTGAAACCAAGAAATACTGACTAGAGAGAGGGTTTTGAGTGCATTGTGAAATGGAAAATAGGAGTGAGAGCATCCAACCCGATTTGGAAGGACGAGTTACTTCTTTCCGTCAGATTTTGTGTACAGAATTCATAATTTCTCTATTACTTCTCTTTGCTTCTGCATCATCAAAAAGACTAGTTAAACCATAGTTTTCACAATCGGATCAGTGACCAGTCAATATACTGGTTTACTGGTCGAATCAATGGTTCAATTGATCGAACCGATGGTTTAAGCACATTTTAAAAATTATATATATATATATATACACATTTATATATATATACACACACAGTCCCTCATTTATAACATTTGACTAAAAATATATTAATATACTTGAGTTATTTTAGTAAGTTAAAAAATAAATTTACATATTTAAAAAAAATATTAAAAATTTTATAAAGGAAGAGTTGATTTTATTTTTTTGAAATAAGTTGTTAAATATTAAAAAAACACTCAAATGAAATCTTTACATGATAGGCATTTTGTAACAATATCCATTATATCAATGATTTTGTGTTTGACTCATAGTTATAAAATATTACTCCCTCCGTCCGGGAATGATGTTCCCAATGTACGTTTTTTTTCGTCCGAAAATGATGTTTCCATTGTACGCTTTTTCCTCTATTCTCCCTAAAATACCCCTCTCATTTAATATCCTCATATTCACTCCTCCTATCTACCCAACCTACCCACCTCCCCAATTAAACCCTCTCGCCCCCTCTTTAGATCTAATCTACCCTCTCTCTCTCTGTCGGTTCTTCTTCTCTCCCAATCCCTAGATTACGATCGTTCCTCTCCCAGATCTATACATCTCCGCCTAAATTCATGGAATCTCTCTTTACGATTCCATCATCCTTGAGACGGAATTTCAGGACATTGGAGTTGAGGACGAGGTGATTCACCTATCTTCCACCTCTGACGCGAAGGAGGAGGACGAGGTCATCGTCATCCACAGCGATGACGATGATGCCGATGTTGCCCCGGTCAGAGACAAGAACGTGGTTATCGTCTTTGAAACTGAGGAAGATTCTCTTATTGGGAGCGAGGAAGATGGCAGTTTTGAGGATGTAGAGGGGTCTGAATTTCTTGAGAATCAGACTTCTCCATCCATGAACTCATGCATGCACCTCCACATCGATCTGCTGAACATATTAATGCCCACCCCGGATCATAACTTTTGGGCATCACAGTACAAGTAGGGAAGTTCCTTTCCTTTCACTCTAATTCTTTCTGATTTTATTCTGAAATGAATTTCAAATCTGTGCTTCTCTTAAGTGGAGAGTGTGTACTATGATGAGCATTTTCCTATGAATCTGTTAAGCCTGTACTGTGATGTGCATTTTGTATGAATCTGTTAAATGTGTACTGTGATGAGCCATTTGCATATCTGAAAATGGATTTGAGTACCAATGGCTATGTCCTGAGAATAAAGTGTGTGCTAATTGCAATGTGTAAATGCCTTGGCCAATGTCTATGAAGACTGCTACTAGCATTGTCTGAGACCAAAAGTACTATGATCATGTGGGATATGCCTCTGAGTACTAAAGTCAGCAATGATGATGTGGGATATGTTTTTGAGACTGATATGTTGGATGTTGTTTATATGTGAACAAAATTACATTTAGAGCAGATTGTGTGTAGTTACCTTGATGTGAGTACATATATAGCAGTGTATAAGCAGATGTAAAAACCAAAAAAACCAATCTACCTAATGTGGGTACCAGCTACATAATCTGGTTAACTCTTAACAAAAAACAAAAACTCAAAAACCATAGATGCTTACAACATTCAATTCAGTTCAACTCTGAAGAGAAGTACTCATCTCCCTCTTCATTGTTGAACTCAACCATGTCTGCAATGATAGCCCCATTATGTTCTCCCAGCAGTGTTGATGTCTTCTGGATTAAGCCTAGGTCTATGCTCAAGGAATTTGGCAGTGTCCCTACCCTTGCTAGTCTGTCTTTTCCCATATGTGGCAGTTTGTAGTTGTTGCCTCCTTCATGTTTCATGATTTTAGTTAAAACCTGTTGGTAACTCAACCACACCTTGTTTAGGGTTTCTGGACTTAGAGCATTATATGCTCCTTCCACTGCTTCTAACAGTTCAGCTACTGTACTTGGAGCACACTGGTCTTTTAAAGATTGAATTGCTCTGAAAAATCCAAGGTCTAGGACATTTAAGTCTGGGGAGTTGGGGGGTTGGTTACATAGGGTGATCTGAAATCAATTGTTGTTACCTGCTGCCACAAAGTCTGTGTCTATTCCTTGAATGTGTGGCCTTGCATTGTCTTGTTGAATCTGTATGATTTTGGATAACTGTGATGGCCACTTTTCTTGGATAGCTGGAATTACTGTATTGATTAGCATTTTCTTTGTGATTTGTTTGGTAACACTGGTGATTGCTTTCACCTCTACCACCCCCCTTTCCCTGTTCTTGCTCTTCCTTTTTGCTTGCAGTTTTTCTGTGAAATGAAATATCCCTACTTTTCCATCTCACAACAGTTTTCTATTCTCCCCAAAAAGTGGTCTCCCAACCACACATAAGACCATAACTTTTGCTATGAATCTTTTTGATTTACATGCTCTGTATGGATCTTCCTCTTTTGGAAGGAGATAAAATTTCTGGGAGGTTTTAGACATAAAGAACCATTTCTCATCAATGTGCAACACATTGTGAAAACTCTTAAACTTAGGGCTGCTGGGAATGGTATGAGGTTCTATCTGATCTAAACAGAACCTTAACCTGGAAATCTTATTAGCTTCTGTAAGGTACGGTTTGATAGCATTAGAATGGCTCTTAAGCATACCTCTCTTTACCCACTCATGAACTGTGGACTTAGGCTTCCCAATGGCTGCTGCTAATGCTCTCAGATTGGTCCTCTTTCTTAGGGGAGTGTCTGCAACTACTTTTAAATCCATGAAAGCCCTCTTCCTGCCACTGTTTCCTGCAATCCTGCTGCTCACATCGATGGCAACCCCATCCTCTAACTTTTTTTTTGCAATAGCCCATATCTTGCCGACTGTTTTTCGACAGATATTAAACTCTGAAGCGAGTTTGTTGATTTGCCCATACTGAGTTGAAAATGTACCATCAAGATTCTCTTTGCAATGACTTAGTAGTGCATCACTAATCAACTACCTCGTTGTGTTCTCCAAATTCTTGGAGTTTATGTCTAAACTCATTTACGTGTTTACGTGCAGGCCACCGGGAAGACGAGAGGAAAAAAGCAAAAAGAACCAGAAACTGAAAAAGGGCATGAAGAAGAAGAAGGGCAGATTTGGGTGCTGTGACTCGTTTCTAAAAGGGGAATATGCTTGAAGAATGTGGCTGCAAAAAAATGGAAAGTGCTGAAGTGGGAGGTTTAAAGTGATGTAATAACCCATTTTGAATAGGTTTTAAGGGTAGTTTTGGGCGGGTAGTTAAAAAAATTGGGGGGAATATGAATTTTTTTTGGTGTTTTGGATTGTAAAGTACACTTTTTCCACTTTCTCACAATGATTGCAAATAGTGAATTTTACTTTATGTTCCATCCGCCACTTTCTCCTCTTTCTTATCCTTATCCCTTATTTTTAAAGCAAGGGTATATTAGACATTTTAAAGCCTTTTTCCACCCCTCTTAAAAATGAGGAAAAATCAAAGTGGGAACATCATTCCCGGACGGAGGGAGTATATTTTTTGAACTAAAAAAGAATTTTTATACAATCTTTTTTAATTTTGAAATACTATAAATGATTAAGTGAACTTGTAACGAAAAACACCTTAGCTTAGATGTTTAAGAACTCAACTAAATTACTAACAGTTCTTGGATTCAAACCCCCATGGACTATGCTTTTGGAAAAAAATCTCAAAAAAAAAAGAAAAAGAAAACTGGTCCGGCTGGTCGGTTCTTGACGGCTCACACCGGTTTGAAGCTTATTGCTGTCCATAGGGCCGGACTGGACCAGTTGGACCACCGGTTCGCTGGTTTGCGGTCTGAACCGACCGGTCCGGTCCGGTTTCAAAACTATGAGTTAAACAATACGGAATATTATTTTTATTTTTATACAAAATCCGTGTGTATTCTTAAATTTGACTATTTTTGTACTTTCTTATATAAACTTTTCATGTTTTTGTTGATATTACAAAATTAATATATTTGAGACAATAATATTATTTATACTATATTTAAGAAGAAGAAGAATTTCTCATTGCATTTCCCAGCCAAAATGGCTTTCAATCACAAAAGATAAGTGCTCAACATGAATAGGTAAATGTCAAATGTAATAGTGGCGTACTAACGTGTAGAAGGTAATAAATATTTGTGAATTATAAGGTACGGTGTGTAATAAATTAAAGTGCCATTTAAAAGATAATTATTGTAATTAAATTGTCGTGTAATATAGTATTATTTATAAATAAGGTAATTTCATACCTTGAAACTTTAAATACCATGTTATAAAAAGTATATAAATTATGCTACCGTGTTATAAAAAGTATAATTAACACGATACCGTGTGATAATTTTAAATACCCTTTTATAAAAAATATAAATATTAATTATTATGGTACCTTGTGAATAAAAGTACAATCATGTTAGGGTATACCTCAAGTTGTACCCCAAAGAAATCCACCGACATTTTAACGGTTTACATTGGTACAAAAATTTGCACTGACATTTTTTGTCAATGTAAAGCATCACACTAATACAAAATATCGGTGCATGCCTTTGAGTATAAAATGGCGTACAAATTTTAGTGTACAAATAGCTTAATCCAAAAAAGTATTTCATATCAAATATTTTTTTGTCCAACATTATACGGAGTATATTATAAATGAAATTTTAAAGTTTGGAAATTGAAATGACAGTGTAAAAAATTCAATCAATAATTAATTGTGTTTACATTTGTACTTTATATAAATTTTAAATAAGGTAATTTCATTATAAGCAACGTAATAATAATATTTAAAAAAGGTATGTTCCTTTTACGTGATTACCATGTATAAATATAGATTAAATTCTGTAAAAGGTCCTTAGTTATAATTACCGTGTTCCTTTTAGCGTTGCCTTGAACA